TCCTGTTTTGACATACATCTTTCTTACCCCTTCAATTCTGAATATAAAAAAACAAGATACAATTTTCTATTCCATTCCAGTCAAAGGTTCCATCCTACCACTATCACGGCAAGTAGCCTGGGCTTTGTGCACCTGTGATCCCCTCACAAAGGTTCCTAGGGGGTACAAAGTTTGGGGTCAACTACTAACCAAAAAGGAGCTCTGGTGGCACAGTGGTTAAAGCATTCAGCTGCTAACCAAAAGGTTGGTGGTTCGTACCCACTCGCTGTTGTGTGAGAGAAAGACGAGGCAGTCTGCTTCCCTAAAGATTTACAGCCTTGGAAATCCTATGGGACAGTTCTCCTCTGACGTATAGGTTGATATGAGTTGGAATCAACTCGATGCCAGTGGGTTTGTTGTTTGGTTTACTAACCAGAATGTTAGTTTGAATATACCCAGTGGCACTGTGGATCCAGTGGCCTGGTGATCTGGTTCCGTAAAAATTATAGCCAAGAAAACCCTACAGAGTTCTACTCTATAACACACGGGGTTGCCATGATTGCCTTGATAGAAACAGGTTTGAGTTGTTTTTGATCTTCTCACATATATGCCACCCATGCAGCATACTCAGATTTCCCTGTAGCAATAAATCACAATGTGTATGTGTGTGTGTGTGTATGATAAACAGTATGATACATATATATACATATATGGGGAGCTCTGGTGGCATAGTCCCTAAGGCATTTGACTGCTAACCAAAGCCTGGCAGTTCAAACCCACCAGCCACTCCTCGGAAGGAAGGTTGGGCAATCTACTTCCATAGTGGTACTGCCTCGGAAACCCAAGGAGGGGTCGCTATGAGTCGGGGCCGACTTGATGGCACATAACAACAACAACAACAACATGATAAACAGTATCATATATGTATATGTATGATAAACAAAACTACAAACATTTATTTATACCAGATGATGATTTAAACAAAAGACTTTAAATTGAACAGGCTTCTGAAGTTCCTTAATACAAAAAGGATGAAAAGCCCTGCTTTCTACAAATATCGTGACATGTAATTTAGGAAAACATGTGGTATAGTTATAAAAAAGAAAAAGAAAACACTTATTTTTGCGCAGTATTTCTTAATGTCAAATTGTCATCTTTATACCATTAAAATCAACATAATTATTTTCTCTTTTGGCTCCCAGATGGAATTTTAGAAAATATCTCAATAAAATAATTTTGAAAGTACTTCCTCTTAAGTTCTTTGGTATGATTTGGTCATTTTCATAGTAATCCATTCATTAAGTAACTACTTTAACATACACATACATATTAAAGAAAATACAATGAGTAAAAATCTTTACAAAACGATGATTGAAGAATAAGATACAGTTTTTGACCTCACAGAAAACAGAACTCTTAAGGTTTTACTTGTGTTTCTGTGACAAAGATATCCATACTGACTATAAGGACATGTCTAACTAGATTTATATTAAAGAAATATTACCTAAAACAATCCTTTTCCGTTAGTTATTAGGATAACTGTTGTAGACACTTTTTTTTTTTTTTCAAGTAGAAAAGACAAATTTGAACTTGAAAAAAACACTACTGGCTGAAGTGATTGTGGATTTTAATCAAGTTATACTCTTCTCTGCATTCTGATTCAGTGAGTCTGGACACCTAGAA